AAGATTGAAGAATTCAGTATAACATAATCCTGGTTATATACTTTTAAGGGTATAAGCTTTGGATGGAAGCAGACAGTGAGGCCCCAGATAGATGACTGATTGATAGATGGATGGATAAATGGATGAACGGGAGGCTAGGTAGAACATTATTTCTTGAAGTAAAATAGGTTTGTAAGTTTTTCTTTGACACTGGCACAGAGGAACTTCTTAAAAGAGTCTAGTGAGCATGGAAGAATAAGTGTTAATGATTACTAAAGATGTATAAATTGTCACTGATCCTATCTTTACTTAGCACTCCTTTTTAGACATCTTTTAGTGATTAAAACCTATTAACATTGACTTTAATGTTCACGTGATCTCAGTATCCCAATCCTTTTTGTTTTCTTAACAATATGTCTATTTTCTCAATGTTTAGTTCTCCATGCATAATGATTTTCAAGCACCTAATTTTTGAGATCAGGGAAAAGCTATGTAGAATTAAATAAATGAATGAGCTCTAATAGCCCATTCACTGTTCTCTGTAGCCCAGGCTGGCCTTGAACTTGCAGCAATACCCCTGGCTCTGTCTCCTGAGTGCTGAGATTAGAGGCCTGCACCACCACACCTAGCTTACTAGAATGTTAACATCATGTTCTTGCTTCTGTATTTGACAAAGCGTTGTACTTGCTTTCTGAAAAACATGAGTTTTGTTTCATATGATTATGCACAAAAATCAATAGTATTCCCTAGATTTTGGATACAATAAAGGTAGACTACAGGAGCAATGTCTTTATTCCAGTTGAAGAGTTACTCTGACCATATTTGATAACCATTTTAGAAAATGCTAGTGTGAAAAGAAAAAAATATATTGCATATTTTTCTCTAATGAAAATATTTTATGTACTGTTACTTTGATTAGCCTGATGTTATCAACTCTCATGGAGCTTTAATTTCTTTGCACTTTAAATATAGCCTGTTATCTCCAGACCATGTAGACAAGTTGAAGAGGACTAAAAACAAGGCTTATTTGGTAGACAGGATTTAGAATAATCTTTAAGTCTTTGTTTTTAAAGAGACTTGAGCATACTTAATGAGGGACTCTTCTGCTCTTTGCCACGAAAATATAATAGTTGCATTTTTGCCATAAAAAAGTAATTCATAGTCCATTGAAAGATTTAAATAAATGTACAAAAGTCTTAACTGGTAGTAAGCAATGATTTGCATTATGCTTAAATTAAAATTATTCTGTTATAAATAGTTAAGGAAAAAACCTTCATGGATTCCATGACTAGCACTCCTGTTATACTGAAGAAATTCATGCTCTTTTTATAAATCAAACATAAGCTAAAATATTTTTAATTCTTTATGCTGAAAACAGAGATTTTAGTTTTTATTTTCTATTGCTATGTTTCCATTTGACCATATATGAAATTTGTGAATTCGAATTTTTTAAAGTCACTTATCAGATCAGAATGAATGGAATTTTGTGGGCTGTACATGTTGCATACTTACTAAGCTGTGAAAACAAATACCTATGAAAATTTGTTTAAATATAGTATAACAACTCAGGGAAATTAAAAAACGTGATTTCTTCCTTTGCATTTTACTACATTTGAAAGTTAAGGGTACAGTAATATATTTTAGGAAGGCATAATTTTTGTAAGATAATTGAAAATATGCTAAAACTACAAATGTATATCTCACTATTAAGCCATACTTAATGGATCATGATGTGATTTGCATATAGAACTTTATATTCAGAAGCAAGACTAAGGTTTTAAAATAAAACATTACAGAATTATTATTTAAATTGCACAGAGACTAGCATATAGGTAGTGCTAAATGGAACCTAGAAATCATCTTTTTTGTGAGGAAGAAGAGAAGTTGGTATTCCCTTTGCAGATGGGAAACCTGAAAGATGTCATAAGAAAATGGGGAGTATAAAGCAGAAATTGAGACAAAAGTATTTTACTGAAGCTTCCAGAGCAGTTGGAAATTTAGTTTACTGTATGGGGTCTTTAAGAAATACCATACCACACTGTTGACTGCTTGACTTGAAATGCAATTCTGAAGTCATTAACTATGGGACACAAGTCACATTACTTAATCTCTCTGTTCCTCAGCTTTCTGAACTATAAAATATAAGTTATAATACTTCTTAGGATCTTTAGGTAGATTAAATTATTAATACTGCTTAGAATTTGGAATACAATGCATGTTAGCTAGTATATCTGAATTGCAGAGCAAGTAGATTTACCAATTATGAAAAAAATTGATGATACTTGAAAATGTTATTCAGGAACTATTTTTAATCATTAAAGAGTAATATGATCTTGAATTATTTTTATATACAGCATTTTGTGTGATTTGGTTCATATTAAAATAGGCAGCAAAAAAACATTAATCATAAACAATAGATTGGTTTTTGACTTACTGAAAATCTGAGATCCTTTGCAGTGCATTTATATATAAAGAAAACTTTATTAATAGCACTTCCAAACTAAGTAAGGATGAAAAGAGCTAAAGAAGAGTTATCTTGGGCTAGGGATTTAGCTTAGTGGCACTGTACTTGCCTGTCAAGCAGAAGGTCCTGAGTTCGATCTCCAGTTCAAAAAAAAAAGTTCTCTTTTAGATTTCATAGTTACTGAGGTCACTATCACTGTTATGTATATAGTAAAATCAAATATGTTACATGTGTTTATTAGAATTTTCTTCAGAAGGAATCCTAAAGGTTATGTGTATACGAATACATTTTTATTGCAAAATATTTCTGTATCTGTTTATAAGAATTTTCAGAAGTAAAGTGTTAACAGCCTATCTGTTCTGAAGGGAAATAATTCAAGACTTTTTCTTTATTAAATTTTGATTTTGTATTAATGCAGAAAGATATTGCTATAAAAGTATAAAAGCCACACTGAGAAAACTTTAAGAATTTTAAATTCTTACACACTGGTTATATATGAGGGTTTAAGTTTTTATTATGGAACATAACCTAATTCTTCTGTTTTTTGTCACAGTATTTTATTGTCTGCCTGCATAGTTTTCTTAGGAGAATAGCAAAATGTATACAATATATTACCCATATACATTATCTTGGTTTATCTACATTGTTGCTGAATTCCTATTTATTGTGTTCAAAATTTAAACCTAAACCAACAGGTTTTGGGATTATCCTTTAAGACTAGAAATATAGTTTTTGAAGAAACTCAAAAATTATTTTTTGTAAATGCTATAATGACAGCCTAGTGACAGGCAGTGTTCATAAAAGCTTAGAGCATTTCTGTTTTTTGGTACGGGGATCAAACTCTGGACCTTGTGCTAAGAGGCAACTGAGCTAACTCCCTGGTCCATTAGAGCACTTATTTAACATGAATGGTAGAGCTGCTTTATATTTGCCTAAGGTATCTATAAAAACTAGCAAATCTGTGACATTAGCCTAGTTCTTCTGAATCAGAATCTGAGCATAACTCTTAGGAGTCCACTTTAAAGCATTCAGTCATTATAGTTTGAGATTCCCTGCAACCACCAATTACATCATGCTTGGATCCATATAATCTAAAATATTATATGTTTACTGAGGTATGTTTGTGTATGTTTGTGTGTCATGAAATCTTTGAAGTCATTTTATACGTTTAGATTAGCAAATATGTATTTCAGTTTTTTCATTTAAGTTTTTTTTTATTAATGGGAATCAAACTCAGAACTTTGTGCTTATGAGGCAGGTGAGGCACCACTGAGCTAAATCCCCGGCCTCCAGTATTTTGTATAGACATCTGTGGATACTGGTTTTTGAAAGTTATTGTCTTATTATTAACAGCCAAATAGTTAATGAGAAGTTGTTTTTCAAGTGGAAGAAAAGATACTGATCCTTAAAAATACCTAGGTCCTGGGTCTATTTCATAACAATGAAATCAGAATAAGCTAAAGAACAACTAAGTCCTAATTCTTTATTAAGTATCTAAAGTGTTTTTTGTTTTGTTTTGTTTTTAGTACCAGGCAATTGAACTCAGGCCTAGTGCTTGAGAGGCAGGCAGCAGAACCACTGAATTAAATCCCCAGCCCTCTAAATTTTTTTTTTATTGAGTTTATTGGTACATTTAGGGATACAGTACAGTTACATTCATTGTTGGGATCATGTACCTTTACATGGCAAGTCTTGATTCTCATTTTTTTCCCCTTACCTCTGCCCTCCCTTCACCTCTAAAATGTTTTTAATGTACAGGTTGAACTAAGAAATAGGGATCAACATTATTGTTCCTTCAAACAATGGAACAGTGACCTTGGAACAGTGACATTGGCTAATCCTAAAAATCATTTACGTTTTTCATGAGAATCTGTAATATTCAAAACCATACACTAAAATCATGGCACTGTAGCATTCAAATCCCGTTTCCCAAACTACATTGTCATGGAATCAGAAGGCATTTGCTCTTAAAATACTACTCTAATAACTTCTCCTAAGTTGATGTAGAGCACTGATTCCGACTTTTAGGTGATATGGGGGATAGAATGTCTACTTTTTTTTGACAGTATAATATTGAACTTGTTGATTTCTGTGATTTTTGGCTCTTTTGGCAATTCAAATGTAATCAAGAATATAAAATGATAATATTGAACTAGAGAAATACTTTCCAGTATGAGGCTGTGTTCATATAGGGCATCAGAATCAATGTTTCCAAAATTATTTATTAGAATTTTCATAGAAAGTTAGATAACAGCACAATAAAAAATGCTTATCTTTATGACAGGGATTTGAAACCTCTGTGCAGTAGAACTTTCTGATTCTGCCAAATGGGAAATCTCAAAATTACTGCTTTTTATTTGTTTAAATTGTGTTCTATAACAGTGGTGCTATAGCAGGCTGTTTGTATCATTGAAAAGTCTAAAAGGTTTACTATCACTGTTCTATAAGTTTCATATGAATTTAAAGTGTTCTACACGTTCATAAGTTCAAGATTTGCTATTATAGTTAAATCAAAAAGTAAGAACTTCAAATTCATATTTCTATGTTTCTCTTTTAGATGAACATTGGAGGCGACAATTAATACCTGTGTGAAGGATATATTGAAGGCTTTGTGGTTTACAGACAAGATCTGTAGAAATTAGACACTCAAGGTAAATTAAACTATAGCCTCATAATTTTATATGAATGATTAAGTTTCCCTTATTATAATTAGACTTGCTATTTCCTTTTCATCATAGTTCTTAAGTGACCTCGTGACCGCATTCCTTCATATTCAGGCACAAACTTTTATATCTTGACAAGAGAATGTTTCTTTTCTAAGTTGATTAAAAAATTATTATAGAAGGAACAAAGCAATTAAGAGGAATGAGGAAGTAACTCCATCAAACATCTAAGCACAACTTAACTATAATATTACTCGGAAACATAACTACTGGCATTCATTATACTGTTTCTTTTTGCGTGGTAAGACTTTATCAACTCCACAAAACCTGGCACAGTGTTATATGCCTATAGGGTTATTACCTCTCGATACCAAGCCTCATTATGTCGTGACTTCTCAAGGGTCTCCCCTAACCTTACCTATCCTTTCACTTAGCATATTCTGTTCACTCCTCCCTTAATTGCTTAAATGCTATGTGACTATAGATTTCTAATTATATTTTGATAAATTACAAGTGAAGTTTGAGGGTAAAAGGATGTTTTAAAATAATAATAGAGTTTGTCAAATGGGGACAAGGAAAGCCTACAGAGAATGTGACCTGCTTGCCAAAGGATTCTTGCCAAGTAGAAATGGAGAAAATAAAATTGAATCTTAGTTTTTTTCTAAAAGAGAGCAAACTTTCAAATTGGAATGGATGAATTTTTCAGTAGCAGCATAAAATTTTGCCTTGGAAAAAAAATCTACTTTTGCTGCTGTGTGAAGAAAGTAAAATAGTTTATAGCCTCTGGTGGAGGACTTTATTTCCATTGTTCTGATTTTCTTTAGTCATATAAATGACAAGTATGTAGAATCTATTTTTCTCCTTAATTTATGGTTAACAGCTTAGTGATTTTGTTAGGTTTTTTGTGCTAAATATTACTGTTAGAGGGACTTCTCTTAAAATATATGTGATATTAGTTCTAATTCATTTCCATAATTATATATGGAAAATTGGTTGCTTGAAATAGCTATTTGTTTTCTTTAATACAAAGATTAGATAATTAGTTTTATATTTTCTTCATCACCACAGTCTGAATCAGGTCCTTCTGGTTAAAAAAAAAAAAATTTATTGTAATTGACCTTTTGCATAGAAAGAAAATAGTTAATCCTACTTCTCTGTTCATAGCACACTACCATCATTTGTCCATGAGAACTTTTTCTTTTTTTTTCGTTTTTGAGACAGGGTCTCACTATGTAGTTGAGACTGACCTGGAACTCACTATGTAGCCCAGGCTGGCCTCGAATTCACAGCGATCCTCGTGCCTCAGCCTCCAAAGTGCTGGCATTACAGGCGTGCACCACCAGGCCTGGCCATGAGAATTTTTTTGTTTTGTTGGGGTTTTTTTGGGGGGGTACCGGGGATGAACTTGGGTCCTTGCGATTTTGAGGCAGGCCACCGAACCGCTGAGCTAAATCCCCGGCCCTGGGGCGGGGGGGATGTTTTTTTCTTTTGTTTTTTTGTTTTTTTGTTTTTTACCGGGGATCAAACTCGGGTCCTTGTTCAAGAATTTATTTTAATTGTTGATATTTTTTCTAATCCCATTCTTATTTTGACCCACAGAAAACCCTTCTTATATGATATGCTATATCTATTGATTATTCTTTTTGTATTTTCACATAAATATTATGTATATATGTATTTAATTTTTTTATATGTCACCTAAATAAAAAGAGAGCGAGTGTGATAGCATGTATCTGTATTCCTAGCACTTGGGAAGCTGAGGCAAGAGGATAGCCAGTAATTCAAGGCCAGTTTAGACTACAGAGTAAATTTGAGGTTAGCCTGAACTATATAACAAGACTCTGTCTCAAAATCACAAAAAAAAGAAGTGGAAGAGGGATCATTTTATGAACTCTTGTGTGCCTGTATCTCATTTTCAACTGTCATCATCTCATGGTTGAGTTTCCTCTTACCTATATTTTATCTCACCTCTCCCCCATTTATTGGGCCTAATATTTTTTTTCTGTTGGCAGGCACCTGCTTTTTAAAAATTTTTTTGGTACTCTGTTGATATGCATACTAATCACATTGATCATAGGGAATTTGTACCTGTACATAATATATCTTGCTTCTTTTTTCCTCATTGCACTCCCCTCCCTTTAACCTTTCACCTCTTCTTTATATACAAAAGCTTAGTTTCCATTTTCTTCACCTGTTTCTTTTTTCCTTTTCAACTCTTTCCTTTGTGCCTGTCCCTACTTCCTCCCCTTCCCATTTGAACACTTTCTTCCTGCTTCTGATTATCAGTCATATATTTTGGTTCTTATTTATGCTTTCTCACTTAAGAGAAACAATGCAATATTTGAACATGACATTTATTTTACTTAAAAGTATGGTCCTATGTTGCATGCGATTACCTAAAAATGTCAAAAGTATCTTTTTGATGACAGTGTAGTACTCCCATCTTGTATGAAACCCATATTTTCTTTTAATTAATTTTATTGGTACATTTAAAGTATATAATGTAGTGGCATTCATCATTGGAAATTCACACCTTTACACAATCCATCTTGGTTCTTATTTTTTTCCCCATTGCCCTGCCCTCCCCCTTCAACCCCTCCACCTCTCCCTATCTACAAAGACTTTTGTTTCCATTTTTTTTCTTTTTCTCATGTTAATTCCATTCCCATTTTTCTTTTCCCCTACCCCACCCATTTCCCCTTCCACTTTGCACCTTTTCTTCCTATATCAAATTATCTGTTATACCTTTTAGTCCTTGTTTACGCTTTCAGTTTCTCACACTGTAGAAACTATTAGGTATTTACACACCTGTGTCTATTTATTTCATTTAAGAGTATCATCTCAATGTTATACATTTACCTATAAATGTCTCTAATTTCTCATTCTTTATGGCTGAGTAGTACTCCATTTTATTAAAAATAAATAAATAAATAAATAAACACATTTTCTTTATCCAGTCTCCTGTAGATGGGCAATTGGGCTGCTTCCAAGTTTTAGCTATCACAAATTGTACTGCTATGAATATGGGTGCACATATATCACTCTGGTATGATTCTGATAATTCTTTGGGAAAGATACCCAGCAGGGTGATAACAGGGTCAAATGAGACCTCCAATCCTAGTTCTCTGAGGTACCTCCCTACTGATTTCCACAGTGGCTGCCCCAGTCTACACTCCCACCAGCGCTGGAGCAGGGTACCTCTTTCCCCACATTCTTGACAGCATTTGTTATTGGTTGATTTCATGATAGCAGCCATTCTTTCTGGGGTGAGGTGGAATCTGAACATTGTTTTCATTTACATCTCTCAAATGACCAGTGATGCTGAACATTTTTTCATATGTTTATTTTTTCATATATTTGTTGTTTCTACTTCTTTGAGAAATGCCTGTTAAATTCAGATGTCCATTTTTGGATTGGTTCTTTAAATTTGGGAGGTCTGATTTTTTTTAAGTTCTTTATATATTCTAGATAGTAAACCTTTGCCTGAGGAACAGCTGGTGAAAAGTTTTCCCACATTGTAGGTTGTCTCTATTGATTGTTTCTCTTGCTGGGCAGAGGCTTTTTAATAAGAAGAGATCCTACTTTTTGATTCTTTGCGCTAGCTCATGTTCAACTGAAGCTTTGTTCATAAAATTTTTCCTATGCCACTGTCTTAGAGAGTTCTACCTAATTTCTCTTCTAGCAGGTTTAGTGTTTCTGTTTTAATATTTAGATCTTTAATTAATTTCAATTTTAGTTTAGTGCATGATGAGAGATACAGATCTAATTTTAATCTTTGGCAAGTTGAAACCGTTTTTCCAGCACCATTTATTAAAGAGGCTCTTTCCTCCAGTGAGGGTGTTTGGCTCCTTTGTCAAAGATGAGGTGGCTGAGTGTGTCTGGAGTTATTTCTCCATCTTCTAACCTGTTCCACTGGTCTCAGGTCTGTTTCTTTGCCAGTACCTTGTTGTTTTTATCAAGGTAGCTTTGTAGTAGAGTTTCAAGTCTGGGATTGTGATAGCCCCTACCTTGTCTTTATTGCCTAGAATTGCTTTTGCTATTCTAGGTCTCTTCTTCTTCCAAATGAATTTTTGGATTATTTTTTTCAAGGTCTGTGAGATATGCCACTGGGATTTCAACAGCGGTTGTATTGAATCTACATAGCAATTTTGGAAGTATGGCCATTTTCACTGTTGATTGTTCCTACCAAGGAGCAAGGGATGTCTTTCCATTTTCTGATATCCTCTTCAATCTTTTTTCAGAGTGTTGTAGTTTTCAGAGTCTTTAGGTGGATTCCTAGGTATATCAATTTTTTGGAAGCTATTGTGAAAGGGATTGTTTGTCCCACTTCTCTCTCAGTGAGTCTGTTTTTTGTATATAGGAAAGCTATTGATTTTTGTGTGTTGACCTTGTATCCAGCTAATTTGCTGAATCTCATTATTAAGTCTAGAAGACTTTTGGTGGAGTTCTTGGGGTCTTCTGAGTAGAATATGATGTTGTCTGCATATAATGACAATTGGACTTCTTCATTTCCTGTCTTTATTCCTTTTCTTTCTCTTGTCTAATTGCTGTGGTTGTTTCCAAATCTATATTGAACAGGAGTGGTGACAGTGAACATCCATGTACAGTTCCTGATTGTAGTGTGAAGAATTTCATTTTTGACTCTTTAGTATGATATTGACTGTTGGCTTTTATCAGATTGAGATAGAGACCATCTAGGCCAAATTTTTGGAAGGTTTTTATCATAAATGTCTATTGGATTTTGTCAAACACTTTTTCTGTATCTATTGACATAATCATATGGTTTTTGTCCTTGGCTCTATTAATATATTGTATTACATTTATTGATTTGTGTATGTTGAACCATCCCTGCATCCCTGGGATGAATCCCACTTGGTCAGGTGTATGATCTTCTTAATGATCTCCTGTATTCTATTTGCAAGTATTTTATTAAAGATTTTTGCATTTATGTTCATTAGTGAGATTGGCCTATAATTCTCTTTTTATGT